ATTAGGCGACAAACTACGCTGAAAATTGTGCATAATAAAGTTATTATTATTATTATGAAACTGCGAACACAATGCACAGCAGAGTACACTTGAAACGGTAGAAGACGAGAGACTTGGTAAAGGAATGTTTATTTGAAATTTGGTGTCTCTATATAGCTAAAATATGTACACCTTATCTTCAACACACCATCTGCACAGATCTTCATGTTGTGGTACTTCTGGCCTTCATATTGTTTATTTGTGTTCCATTCACATCTCCAATGTATCCCCACAACGGCGTATTATTTGCTTTGTCTGATATCAAATCTATCTCCCTGCTTTTTGATGTTTGACGCCGAAGAACGTCTCTTTATATACTACTGATAGATCTTATCAGTAGCACTCGCCACACAAACAAAAAGCATGAAATTACTACACTGAAGTTTACGACTGTTCAAAGATTTAATGTATAAGTCGTAACTCTTTACTGAATATATAAAAACCTTCACACCATGTTAACGCCGAATGTTTCATTATAAAAATAAAGATACTTTTGTCGAAATACTCAGTACTGAATAATCAGTGCTTAAAATTCCTTTTTTTAAGTGTACTATGCAAAATAAAATGAAATAATAATAATAATTTGCTTTATTATTTGACTGTCTGTTATCAGCATAGAATTTTGCACAGATATGCACCAGTTCCAGTTGCCACACTCCCTCCATGTAGCACACAAAACAACAGCAGAAAGTAAACAGGAGTTCAAAAGACAGAAAATTAACAGAAGTGTGAGGCAAAAAGAATAGTAATATGGAAGAACAATAGAATTTTAAGGCGTATGATAAATCACAAGGAGTGAATGCATCTCCCCACCCACCCCCATAGAGAACGATATAAAGCCATTGGCTTTTACCATCCTGAGGACCCCGAGCAGACAGCAGTCTACACCTCCCTACGTCGCTGGCTGGCTTAAACTAACCGTTATAGATTTCACTGACTGATGAAGTCTTGTTTTAGTTTGACCACGACTACCTCTTTTCCAACCTGATCCTGTGTCAGCTAACATTAGCCATCGAGGAAGGCGATGGCTAGGCACGCGTAACACGTGTCCTAAGCACCTCAATCGGTAGAAAATGAAATATGCAGTACTGTAACAACAGAAGACAAGGGCCAGGCTACAGATCGTTTATTTTTATGTACATTATTATTCGTTATTACTAGTGGAGAAACAGCATCTTCTGACTGGCTGTATTCTCGCTGAAAGCTATTCTATCGTTTCTTTGTGGCCGTTTCTTTGAAGGTCAGACCATATATCTGCCAATCATATCCGCCCACGCAAAGTCTACTGTGATTGTTTGTTGCGTTAATCTTTGTTCTTGTTCTTTCCTCATGACCAAGATTTGGGACGTAAATATTAACGTAAATTGCTGTCTGCCAATTTGGCCAGTAGACAGCTCTCACCACACTACGACGCTCATATACCATAAAAGGTATTCACAGGATTATCATTAATAGGCATGAGAAGATAAGATAAAATAAGATAATAGCTTTATTCCGAATCAGTACTTGTGATACAGAATGAAATTCTCAGCATTTTACTACAATATTACATCCAGTTAGTACATTAACAATAAATAAAGTTCTACATAGATTAAAGTTATCTCAGTCAGTTTTGACAACAACATATTAGCATGTCGGTAGCAGAGCCAAAATTTTAAACAGAGTGTTTGAAGGTGTTAGAAAAGTAGATACTACTAGCATATTTACTGGCGTAAGCGATAGCAAAATGGTCGAGGTATACAGAGTGTGAAAGAACGAACAAGAATGTTTTAAGTAGAGTTTGTAAGGAAGAGAGAAACAAAACAGCACATAACAAAAATAAATACAGAAAAAAAAAGTAGAGAGAAAAAACGTTGTACCTGTAAATGATGTGAGTTGGAAAGACGAGATCCATTTATTCTACTGACTATTTAGTAAGAATTTAATATGAGAAACCATAGGTGGAGAAAGAAGACAGTGACAATAAATGCACTTGTCCAAATAATTATTTGGTAAGTAGAACGTGGAAGGAAAATTATGTTAAGCATTTCCTGCCTTAGTAATTATTCCTTTGCGGGGGATATAAGGTTTCAACAGCATAATCATTTCATCCTGTCCTATACAGTCCTCTTCAGTTAGTCCCACAATTACCCATAAGATTTTATCTCCACTTGAGACGATCTACAACATGTCAACCTTGGATTAGTACCCAGTTCACAGTTGCTCATTTAGGTTTCATTCAAAAACTGGTGCTTGGTGCTAATGATCAGTTTCCTCAATATTTGCTGAGAAACGGGTTCTTCGCAGCTTCGCTGACATAACTTACTGTTGTTAATCCTTTTTGTTCATCTATCTGATCTTCACTATCGAGCCAGCTGCTGATAAAAGCCTGAAATCTGTTAGGAATTCTTTTCGTGACGCAGCAAACCTCTAAACCACATAGAAGCAAATACTGACTTGACATTAGTGTTGTAAAATTTGAATCTCGTTCTGTATGCTGAGTGTAATAGGCTTTCACATTGATTTCAGACTATTGAAGGTTCGTCTGGCTTTTCTGATCCTGCCTACCTTTAACATCATCAATGGTGCCGTCAACTGTAGTTGAAACGATGTTGCCTAGATAGGCGAAAGTGACACATTTGTAAATTCTTCCGTTGATAACTGGTGCTTCTTTGAGTTGGTTAGGTATCTTCACCTATATGTCTTCCCTATATTCACTCGAAGTTTTGTTTTCGTTGGCAGCCTTTTATCCTGTTTTCTTGGTTTTCACCTATAAGTCTCCCAGTTTATATGACACCAGACATCAATTGTCCGTGATAATACTAATTTCAAATTCAATTTCGTAAAGAATAATTCCGTGATAGTCATTTAGATGAGACAGATGTAGTTTTCCTGATAATTGATACAATAATTCTGAGCTACTAAACTCCTAAAATTTCGAAAGCCCTTTCTTTTTCTCTCTCACAAAAGATTAGATATCTATTGAACTAAGTACTTGATTATTAACCAGTATACCCTGATTGCGAAATGTCTGCCACTTGGTGCGATTTGAAATCTAGGGCAACATGTATGTTTCATAACATTTTGTAAAGTGAATTTTATTCATTGGTAAGTTAAACAGTTGTATTTAGTCACTTCAGTAGTGACGGGCCTCAAGCAGTTTGTCCCCTGAACTCTGCAGTAACACAATACTAATGCTTCTTCTGTTCCAGAAACTCCAAGAAAAAACTTTATTTCCACTATGTGAGCAACAGGGAAGTTAACAACCATCCAAACACTTCCAAAAGCATGCAAAGCTCCCTTGACTATGAACCACCACCTATCAACCTTTATCTACGTCAACTATATTATCATCTTGCTTTCCTCCAACTGTTAATACTACCTGACAGACAGATCCCTCATATCTTAACTTTTCAACCAATATTAGCAATGAGAGCCAGAAAACTACTGCTGATAGTCTCTTAAAACCAAGTAGCCAACTTCAAATTGGAGTATTTTAACATCAGGACAACAAAAGGCATCACTAGCTAAAACTATGACATTTCAAATCATTAATGTATGATGTTGTGCTTTGCAAGTAATATATACAACAGTTAATTGTTGTTATTCACTTAACTCCATTTGGCCATCAGAGTCACTATGCAGAACTCATTCTACGGACGCTAGGAGATTTCTTGTCTAATTCGCGAAGATTGTCAGGTATACCGACAGCATCGAGGGCTAGGTCAGAAAAATCACTGAATGACTGGATCCCAATTGACAGTCGTATGTGTCATCCATCTGAACAGACCAGTTAGAGGTAAGATTGTAATACCTGTAGTTATCTTTTCATAACCTCTGCATACGCCACAACAGACTGGAGTTCAAACGAAATAAAAGATGCGTTCAATCAGAAGCTGTATAACTGGCTGCCAAAAGTAAAACACTCAGCTCCACTCAGCTAAGTAGACAACTTCAATGCTCAAGTAGAGAAGTTTTGTCAGTCAGAGAGGTATGTTGGCAGCACCTACGAACCAACAATGATGATCGTCTTCTACAATTCTGTTCAGATAATCATGTGTTCCTGATCAGCACTAACTTCAAACACAAAGAGACATAGCCTAAAGTGGCGACCTTCACTATCAAAGTAACGTAGGACTGAAATAAACCAGAAGCTACTGATGGTGAGGGTCAGTAGGAGACTCGTAGAAACAGTGGTGAAGGCTATTGATAACCAACACATTCTAATAAACGCTAAGGCTTTGATTCATCCCACCCAAAGTCAGTATATGTAGGTTTCGTCAGTGTCTATACAGTCGGGCCAGGAGCCTGACTAGTAAACCAGAAGATTCAAATAATAGAATCAAACAAATAAGGAAAATATTACTAGTGAACAACTGCCCACGCAGAGAGAAAATAACAGTAGTAGTGAAAATGATACAAATAACATAAATAATAAAGGATTCAATTACTTTATAGTACGATCATATAGAGAAGGAAAATCAGACGCCTTACACGTAGGATGGATTGTTAAAAGTGCTGGAATTAGGGTGCCATTTAAACCAATCGACTCATTTAGAGATAAACTTTGTCGGCTTTAGGACACGATAGATCTAACTGAGAAGAATACTGTAATTTACCAGATACCATGTAATGACTGTGATGTCAAATCATATGGGTAAAACTAATAGATCAGGGTCAACTAGATTATTGGAACATAAAAATTTGGCAAGACCTAGAATAATTGGTCCTGCTACGTCAAATAACCTAGGAAAAACACAGCTCAGACAGTGAGATGCATTCGCCTGGATGTAATCACATAATTGTGTAGGATAGGGGGAAAGTAGTAAAGAGTAATATAATTAGGTACTTATCGAATCAACACCAAATAAAGTGCAATTGAAATGATACAACACCTACACCTGATTTATATATATATATATATATATATATATATATATATATATATATATTATATATATATATGGAAAATTGTAATAAACAACAAGCGGGAGACATATATATAAGGCAAATTATGAAGCTGTGTAAACACATTGACATGATTATGAGCAATAGATTACGCTTAAAACATCATCCAATTACTAATAATGTATAGCTATGGGCAAAGTTAACCTTTAAACACCACCAGCTACCAATCAACGAATGACCTCGAAAGCACCAATCACGTGCAAGAGGCATTTTTGTGTATGAAATACATATATTTATGAAAATAATATGTAAAAACTTTTTAAAAGTGTTATAGAGGATATCTTTCTCTCACATTTGATAAAACTAGCTCTCAGTTTTAGGTTGGAGTATCAACAGAGTAAAATTTATTTTCATAAAGTCTCATAGTGTTATGCAGTAACATTTACTGGGCAATAAACTGTGCTCGAAACGTCATCAGTAAATATTACTGTATAATAACACTGTGAGCCTTTATCAGAATAAATTTTACCCACAATGGAATTATACCCTACCACAGTGCACAATTCTATTCTTATATCAACAGAGTAATTTAACTACATTCTATGCACGTAATTATTTCGGTCTTCTAACACCAACAACAACCCTAATCTTTCCTAAACCTAGCTCAAACAGGAAAATATGACTAAACCAACTCTAATGTCACCTTTAATAGGTTAGCCTAACCCTAACTTGTCCTTGGCCTAAACTGCAACTTAATTCTTCCCAAACCTAAGTTGAAACATCCCAGATAACCTAACACTTCGATGAGCATGTTTAACTAATGATGACAACACTAACTGGCTCAGTGAGCGCTTCAAGGTCATTGTTGAGGTCACACCTCATTGGTAGTTAGGAGTGCTTAAAGTTTAACTTGGTCCTTACCCACAAATGTTATACTGACCAAACGGTTAATTACATAATAATAATAATAATAATGAGGAGGGGGAGGAGGAAGTAATACTCATTTATTGACTAAATGAAATTATGCTTTTAAGCTGAAGTACAAAAGTAAATCGTTGTCATCTTGTCTTGGAGTACATGCATACATTTAAAAACTTGAAAAATAATGATGACATGGCTGATAGCAGTAGGAACAACAACGACAAGAAGAAGAAGAAGAACGAAAAATAACAAAGTATAATGTGACTACAAAACATTCGTCTAGGCGACCACCACTGTGTTGACAAACACATACATCATATAACCACATAAGCGTGAATCTGTATTCGCAGAAATGTAAAGCATATATATTCATAAATATTAGCTGAAGACAAGTAGGACGTAATATTGCACTCAAACTTTTTTTCGAACTCTGAAAGTATTTCATTTTCTACGTTATAACCGATAGTTTGTGCATACGCATAAGAAAACAAGAAAAAGGTATGCAGTAATTAAACAGCGAAAGTCATTAAAATAGAACCTAATGATCACATTTCAGAGAGAGAGAGGAAAAAACGAAATATACATATTATACTACTACTCAGAAAATAAAGCTAAGTAGTTAGTAAACTTTTGACAAGCTTCTAATTATCTCAGGTATACATATTTTTGTTCATTCTCCGAGCAAGTAGTTTCAACTGACGAAATTAATTTGTTAATTAGCTTCATCCCATGGATTTAGAATAAACGTTTCATGGAATTTCGATAATTTAGAGGCCAAATAATTAGCCCGGTTTCTGTAGAGTATAAAAGGATATAACAGTAGATTAGTAGTAGTATGTTCTTTTCCGAATAAAAAGAAACAGCGTTATAAATAAATCAAGACTATTTTAACTGTGAAAATACCAGTATCTTGCATATTGTTTATTTTGAACATCAGTTGACAAAGTACCTTTTTCATGAAAACACTGACGACAATATACTATTTTTTAAAAGGAAACTTGTTGCACGTGATCAATAGTTGTTTATCAGTAAACTTACTTTATCGTTATGATATTAAACATAGCCATTACAACAGTTAACTTATACGTACACTTCAGATATATTTATATAACTATTCGGCGGACTGTGCTCCGGTGGCACAGCGGTAAGATGCTCGCCAACCACACAAGTGATTCGGAATTCAATCTCAGACGGCGCACCGCTTTTACTCGCTAAACCACTAACAAGACTGGTAAAGAGGGAAGGTTGGGCATGAGGCTAGCAACCCGATCCTATAAAAAATTAACACAACTGCTACCAAAACTTCAAGTCAACAGCTTGAAGCCCTATGTGTTGCACCAGGAACGTAAAGCAATTAAACAAAAAAAATTAGGCAAACTGTGGTGATATAGTTCAATGAATGTATCACTAACTTCTGCAAACAGAAAAGGTATATGCTTCAATGTAACTAATGACAAGCTTGGTTTGGGACAACAGTAACAGACAAATACTGTTTCTACTGGTAAAATCCAATAAAATTGCATGATTCAAACAGTGAGAATACGCTAACTTCATTTGTTCATTTAGCAGAAACTTTTAAATACCATTTATGTGAAATTGAACAGTTTCCAACGAAAACCATCAGTCAGTAAGGCGTATCTGCAACCTTAAAGGAACTCATGTCTCTTCTAAGACTCGAACCCGTGTCACCCAGTGCTGCAGTTAGAGAGACGTTACCACTGAGCTGTTCGGACTCGCGATTGACCTCCTGTAGGACTGTAATTGGATATTTTTGATTGGACTAGTAGTAACTAGTAACTAATTAGTCAGTAACTAGTGTGATGTGTCTAGCTCATTCTTTGGTGCGGATTGAATTCTATCAGTCAGGTTAGCAATGTGGCCACCATTCTAAGTAGTTCGTCATCACGGCACGCATTGATTTGATGATATAAGATGGTTAGAGGCGATCAGCAGGAAGCTTTGCACCTAGATTTCGTGCTAGTTGGCACTCATCAGCAAGGCGTATCTGCAAAACGTGATGGTGACCACATTGAAAAGCCTGACTGACAGAATTCAGTCTGCGTCAAAGAAACGACTACACACATCACACTAGTTACTGACTAATTAGTTACTAGTTACTAGTCCAATCGAAAATGTCCAATACAGTCCTACAGGAGGTCAAACGCGAGTCCGAACAGTTCAGTGGTAACGTCTCTCTAACTGCAGCACTGGGTGACACGAGTTTGAGTCTCAGAAGGGACATGAGTTCCTTCAAGGTTTCAGATATGCCTTACTGACTGGTGACTGCAAACTAGTACGAAACGTAAGTCCAAGGCTTCCCGCCAACTGCCTCCAATCATTTAAAATTACCATAGTTCCTGTCCACTCAAATATAAAAATCAATAGCTGAATGCTTGTTTAGAAACATGCAACATACTTGCAGAGAATACTATTGAAGGAGAAATAAAAATTCCCACTGAAATATTGTCACACTACCAACTATCCACTGACATTCATTAAAAGCTACAGAAGTGTTAAACAAAGGGCTCCACCAATCCAGTCAACTCCCAAAAACGATGTTTATATATCTCTTTAATGCAAGAGTGATCACTAAAGTCTAGTCACTAGACGGACGCTCATAGAGGTACTTAAAAGAAGTCACTATGCAGCTTAGAATTCAGTTTTGTAGAGATAATGAGATTTATGTTAACCAGTAAACCCTCACACCATACAACAGACAGTGTCACATCTCACTGTGTTTACCAAATTACATGTATGCGTGTTCACGGGTACACACAGGGAGGATCCATCGACCTCAGCCTACCAAGGCTACAGTACACATTCCTAAGTGGCTGTAAGAACAAATATAATCATCTGATACAATTAATCCTGGAAAAAGATGCCCAACATCATCTATTGTATAGCACATTATAGAGACTAGTCACAATATTTTAGTGTTTGGAACCATAAGTATTTTGTAGAATTCTTGATGAAGCCTAACGTACACAGCCAAAAAGCTGAAATACCTGAATGTGCATATGTGTGTGTGTTGGTTTCCACCGTGAACTATAGTCAATACTACAAAGCTTCTGTCACAAAAAGCATTTCGATAACTGGTAAAATGCAAGGACTGAGATTAAAATGTGGTGCGACGGTAGAAGGCGACAGACTTGGAACGTTCGTCGGCAATTTGGGATCTCTATATAGCCAAATTGGGTAAACCTTACCTTCAAACCACCATTTGCACATATCTCCATGTTGTACTACTTCTGGCCTTCATATTGTGTTTCTTTGTGTTCCTTTTACGTGTCCCATGTATCCACGCAACGCTGTATCATTTGTTTTCTCTAATAGCACATCTATCTCCCTGCTATTTGATCTTTTATGCCGATAAACCTCTTTTTATATACATACTACTGATAAATCGTTTCAGTAATACATGCCATATTGGCTGGTTTGAATACGCTTATACATTAACCAATAATAATGGTATTAGCAAAATGATAAATGAAATAACTATCAGTTTTTTTAATGATATAGAAATTCAAACAGCCTCTGTGTTTTTGCATATCCCGTGAGATATCAGCTCTAACAGATAATTCGATAAAGGCCTAGGCTTGAATTTCTTTTTTAAACAGTTATTAAACAGTTCGATCAACACCAGAAAAAGTCTACTCACTTCAATTTCTTTGCATCTGCAGTTATTAAATCTAAACGGCTGATATCATTATCCAATTGTTTTACTTCTTCAACAAGGCTATCACCAAAAAGTTCCACTTCACTGGATAATTTTTTATGAGCCAAATGTAATTCTCTTTTAGCCTAAGAAGAATAAAAAAAATAAGTATACGGTTAACAAAAGGTAGACACAAGCTGATTTTAGCACCCATTGAGTCCTGGGTCACAAAATGACTGACTGTCATCTTATTTTCTGGATAGAAAACAACGTACTGTTTTGAATGGAAGGCGTTCCACTTCTTTGCTGACAGAAACAAGGCGCTGCACTCTCTCCCCGACTCTTTTTTCCTTCTTTTTACATGACCTTTCATATTCTTCCAAAGCTAATTTCATCAAATATGCCGATGATCTAATCATTTCTGTCCCAGTTAGTTTCTGCATTGGATTGTTCTTATATGATGAATAGTTTCTTATGTCGTTTCTTAAGTCGTCTCGCCTAAATAGTCTCAAACTGAATCCATCTAAATGTCATATTGTTGATTTTAGTTTCAGATGAGAACAATACTTGTGTGGACTGATTCACTCCCATGACTCCTGTAATACTGACGGCACTGTGATAGGGAGTAAATCGAATATCTCTCATCTCAGTATCAGTTTCTTTTTCAAATCTATGTTGGTCGTCTCATGACTTCTAAGAAACATTTTCGTCTCACCTATCACATTAGGAAGCTGAGATATTCTGAAATAACTCAACCTCTTCCTTTACAATTCATTAATTCACTTATTCGGCTTATTCTTCTTTGACGTTCACCCTCTTTTTCTTCCCTGGACTTCTCAAAAAAGACAATGTCATATTATGTAGAACATTGAAGGCTTTAAGTGGGTTAATGGTATGTCTTCGGCTCAACTAACTGACATTATCATAAATGGGGGCTTCAATTCTTGCAAACGGCTGACTGAAGTTATCCCGTCTAATACTGAACATCCTCTTTATTCTCAACTTTCTACTTGTCCATTTTCAAGTAACACCAAAAGAAACTTTATAAGAATTTACGCCTGTTTGTACAGCTACTAAATGTAAAAATTCTTTCATACCACCATATTTAGCACGTGTTCTTTGTGAAGAGTTAAATGTCAGAAAAAAGAACTTATAAACTTTTTAAATCGGTAATCTGAACTGCAAAGTATAAGCAAAGATTATTATTACATGTATTATTATCCATGATACTATCTTCATTATGTTTCTACCAACATTCTCTTTATAGTCGTTTCATTATTAATACTATTATTATTACCATTTTTAATTTTAAGTATGTACATATCAACAAAAGGAGCTGAATAGTCACAATATTCATAAAAACGCTGAAGACTCCATTCTGTATAATTATTATTGTTGTTTGGAATAAAGTGATTATTATTAAACCTAAAAACTAACAGTTAGAACTAAAACGAAAGGGAAGTGAAACTTCACAGGACATAGATTTCAATTAAGCAGTAGTGCTTATGTTTCACCAGTTGTCTGTCTACATAGCGAATTAATTATATTAAGTATTCTGATAAATTAATAATACACCAGTATATAAGCTTAGACGTTTGTCCTTTGGAATTTATTATTATTATATCCTTTAATTCCTAGAAGAACATAGGGCTTCAGTCGCCCGTCTCCATTGCGTTCGGTTTTCTGTCAATTTTTTCACCTCGCTCCAAGTCTGTCCACACGCTTTCATCTCCTCTTGACATGACCTCCTCCAAGTCACCCTTGCATTGACGACCAACTCGCCACTTCCCTTTCGGGTTCCACTCGAGCAATGGCTTGTATAGTGATGTCGCTTGATGGTTTGCTTTCTCAGAGGATGGCCAATCCGCCTCCATTCTTCCTGCCTATTTGTTTCACAATCAGTTCCTGGTTGGTTCGCTCATTGCCATTTGATCTTGAGCATTGAGCGAAGACAACTGTTAATGAAGGTCTGAAGTTTGTTGGAGATGCTCTTTATGACGCACTGGCCAAGTTTCTGATCCGTATAGTGAGTAGCACTGACTGACTTCACATTGGAGTTGAAAATCCGAATCTTATTTTCATTTTGATGCTGAGTGCTGTTGACCTCCATACAGACTTGAGAGTAATGAAAGCTTCTCTTGCTTTTCTGATTCTGGCTTTGATATCCTCGTCAGTTCCACCTGTGGTTGAAACGATGCTTCCCAGGTAGGTAGGTAAAGGAGGTTGTTTCTTTCAGGTTCTTCCCATTTATGCTGATTGTTGTCTGTTGTTGCTGCTTCTGTTGACCAGAAATCTTCATCACCTCTGTTTTCTCTATGTTCACCTGAAGTCCTATCTTCTCTGGATGCTTCTTCTCCCAGCTTGTTGCTTTTCACTTGGAATTGGAATTTAAACGTCTACTTTTTTTCAGTCAAAAGTCTAAAACTTTTTTTGTTGTTCTACATGGGATTATTTTCCGTTTTAAGGTACGCGCCTTTACTTCGGATGGCTTTTAAAATTGTACGCAAAAGAAAGAAACGTACTTTGAAATGTAATTCAAGCATCCAATACAGTCCTACAGGAGGTTAATTGCGAGTTTGAATAGCTCAGTGGTAACGTCTCCCTTACTACAGCACTGGGTGACACGGGTTCGAGTCTGAGAAGGGACATGAGCTCCTTTCAAGGTTGCAGATACGCCTTGCCGACTAGTGAGTGCCAACTAGCACGAAACCTAGGTCAAGCAAGGCTTCCTGCCGATTGCCTCCAACCATCCAACAGACAGAAACGTGCATATATATCCGTAGCCTTCACTTTTTTTTAATTTCTTTAGTTCGGTCTATCTTCTTATGAATGAATCCAGCTTTTAAAACAAGCAACAAATGTTGACAAAGCAAGATTTAATGAATTCATCGAATTTCAGTAGGACTCTTCATCCGAATACTCAACATACAGATATCCGTGTACAAAAGCAAATGGTAGTCACTTTGAAACTATCAAGGTAATATGTTTACCTATTAACTATTGTTATTATTATTAATAGTTCATTCTACTTCTTATTACAATTTCTGATTCGTTTAAAACTATCTTTTACCATTATCACTATTTTAACTCGTTTTAACACTTGTTATTATTATTGTTAACATCATTAGCACTATTATTGAATTAGTTGTATTCTCTGAGCTGATTGATTTTAATTGCGAACCTTTCGTCATCCTACTAGACAACATCTTCAGCACAGGTTTTAGTATAAAATGAACTTATTCTCCAAGAATGATATAATTATATCTCCCGGCAACCACTGTTATGACTGTGTGTTTTTTTATTTACGTCTCTATTGTTCATTTTTATTGAATTGGAATCTGAACTGTCTTGTCATGTGATTTACTTTTTATTAGCTGATGAATTTGGTTTATAATAATGTGTTTGTCAATTATTAATTCACTTGAGTGTAGTACCAGGCTTTTATTATCATAAATATTATTCAGTTCAGAATTTTTGATATATTCAAGTTCTTTCAATTACTGATAACTAATTGTTTATCTAAGTGATGTAATTGAACCGTAATGCATTTTATCTTAATTTGTATAACCACTGTGTGTAGAGTATCCAGTTGAAGAGTTCTACTGAAATTTGATGAATTCATTAAATTCTGTTTTGTTAACTTTTGTTACTTGTTTTGAATGCGCATCAGGAAATAAATGTTCTTAATTCAGCTATTGACCCAAATCGATTCACAACGGTGTATCTGTTAGCTATTCACTATTTTCATTTTTGTGAAGACCGTCTCTCCATCTTACTCGATAAATTCCATCAGTAAGTTAATTTCGCGAGAGGACAAATGGAATGAATACTGTTTCTTTACGTCCGTTTATTACCACTCTCGGGCAAGATCTACTGTCTGAACGATGAATGCATACGTAAGCGTAGGACTTACATAGTTATGACTTCTAAACGGTTTCCCAGGCTGAGTATTTTCTAATGACAAAGTGACTTAAAAGTGTAACTGTATTGTTATTCTTATGCAGTTTGCTCTTCGGCAATACTATGAATTCCACCAAAATCATAAACTTACTTGATGACGTGCATTTGTACTAGTCAGATCAACGATTAGACGTAATTTGTGTGATGCAAAATCGACGTATTGACGTTTAAAAGCTGCTTCTTTTGCTTTATTTGTCCAAGAAAGACGTTCATAAAGATAAAGACCACCGTATATACCAGATGCAACAGCTAGAACACGCCATCCAACAGCTTTTGATAGCTAAATAGTAGGAAACAATAAGGTAAAGAAATAATAGAAAAGATTTGTAACTCAGGTGGATGATTTGCAATTAATAGTGTTCTCTGAGCTCAGAGAGTCATTAGCCCTATATAACTTGAACTACAGGAACAGTTAAAAAGGTATATGAATTATTGAAAAGAATATTCTTCGTTCGGATTGACTTTTAACTTATGGGGTTATAAACTGTGAGTGATCTGGTTTGAAATCTACAACAGTGGAACAGATGCACTAATTCTCTAACCTAACACTAATTGAGATATTTGTCTATTACTATTTGATCAGTCTTTCTTCTCCTAACTTATCGCACTGCAAAACCTGTAATTGTATTACCTATATTTCCTTGTTCCCCTTTTTTATAACTCTTTGATGAGGAGGTATGAGATGTGGTCAGCTGGTCCACTGGTAAAGTAATGCTGGGTCCTACATAGACGCGATATGTATTTTGTGTCGAGGTTTTCACTAAGGCAGATAAACGGTTACATAAAACTTCTTCTGACGTTTCTTAAAATTCTAAATCAAATGTCATCACCGCTCAACTGCCTTAGGGTTAACAGTGCGTTCTTTAAAACATAACCACTATTCGATTTTTTCATCTCTAATATTTTAAGAGAGGAAGATAGGGCCTCAAACTTGAAACCTTAAAGCACCAATAGCTACTGTGTTGCTTTTATGGATTACGCAGTTGCTAGCCTGATGCCTAATCTACCCTCTTTTCCAAGTTTATTACCGAATAGTAAACCAGCCGGGGTCCCAAACTGTGTCTGTCAAGAATCGGCCACCGGACAACGTGAGTGGTTAGCGAGCATTCCTACCACTGGGCCACCACCAGACGCACCTACACCCATAATGAAATTACTGACTAAAATAATAGAGGAATTTTCGACTTCCTACAGATACCGTTAACAAAAATAAAGATCGGTATGCATAGATAGAAAATATATTAACATAATGCATTTAAAACACACAGGGTAAAAACTACACACTGTAAGCCTGAAATATTGACTAAGCAAACGTGTGTCACATTATTACATGGTCAGACTCAATCACCTTGTGCAAAAAAACAAAAATTGATGTTTCATAATTCTAATTTTAAAAAATGATTGAGACATAAATTTTATTTACAATAAACTGTAATAATCACAAAGAATCACATGGAAAATGTAGCCATTCAATTTGTTGTATTGATAGAATGATCAACACCATAATGTAAAGGATTGTGCGATACCCATTAAAGATTTGTGCTAATTTTCTACGAAGAGACATATGATAAGGAATGAAGTTTGACCATTCAATACATAAACACCTACATAGACGTACAACGAGTGTTTGAATCTACCCCTAGAAGAAATGACAAAATCTAACCATCTCTATTCAGGTGTTGGTTCTTAACCAATCAAATCCCTACAAACCAACATTTGAATTTCGATGAGATGCTCACTAGCGACTTGTCCTATTCAGGTAGGTAGTTACGTGGGGTTCTAGTGAAAAGCCATGACCAGTAGGGTGCAACAGGTCGGGTGTGAGGACAAATACTCGCCGAAGACATTGGCTAGCGGTCGCGCTATATCGTGAATTGGCAGAAGTTAGAATTCATGGGCCATTGGATCGGGTCCCAGTGGCTTAATAGTTTACGAGCTGTAACCAGAAGGTCCTGGGCTCGAATCCCGGTGGTTGCGTACTGATGAAGAGTCCCAAACTAGGACGAAACATCTGTCCAGTACTCCCAGATTTTTCAAAGGTTTTCTAACTAATGTCAGCTCATGATGAAATCCTGTAACCATCTCCTCTCTCAGAATGGTTCAGGCGAATGAGTCAGTTTCTGTGCATCTGAAGCTTCAATGACCAGTGTTAATGACTACCAAGAAGAAATAGCCTATAAAAAATAATTAAGAAGTACATCTAGCTGCAAATAACTAGAGGAATTCAGTACAAGCAACTACCATTCTGAAAGTTTTGATACACATAAAAAACAAAGCCCCTACAAATGTTACAATGAAAAATAGATTATCCATGGGAAGGAAACGTTTCTAAAAATAGTGATAAAAATAATGCAGACTTTTAAATATTCTTTTTTCAAAAAGAGAAACAAACAAATTTTCTCTTAATTATGTAAACAATTAACTGTCTAACACATTAAGCTAGACCCAGAAACATGCCCACACCACCCACACACACCAGGGGGTGTTTCCTATCGAATAAAATGTGTTCAATCAGTTTTAATGGCATTTTCTACTAAGGACATCCACAAAAAGTAATAAAGCTAAAAGCATACTTCGTGACAAGCTTTGCTGAGGTTACTCATACTTCCTCCCATTCTCAACAAAAATTTACACATATAAAGTAACATTAACAGTAATCCGTGGAAATCCTGTAATAAAAGTACATTTTCCAACACTAAAAATAATGCAAGAAAAGTCGTTTTCAAACAAATGAATATAATACTTACGATTCCCAAGAGAATAACCGCTCCAACAGAGCTTCGACTCATTAGCGATGGGAATAAATCAATACTCATCGGAGATCTGGCCAATAAAGATGAATTAACGAAACTAGAAGAAATCCCATCAGATTGTGTCCAGTGATACTAATTGGAGTATAAATGACATGATATAAAACGAAATTTTGAATTTTAAGAAAATTGTGAAAGCCATATGATCAAACAAAAAGAGTAGGAACATTTTGAGCAACAGAATCGCTTAATATCTAACTTTAAAAAGTTATCTTAACAATATTATTTTGCATAACACGAGCAAAATACCAAGCCGATGAACAATTTACAGTAGATATTCACTCCTGTACACGACTTAGTACCACCGGAGGAGGGCGAAGTAGATTTCAGTCTTCTCGAAATACTCTCATGTGGCTACGCATGCATAGTCCCTGTCAGGTGGCTATAGTACTCCTCACAAAAGTGAAAGAGCGAATGCGAATGCCCGGCACTTAAAACCGAACTGGTAGGCATGCTAATCTAACTAGAGAAGCTGGAAAAACTCGATATCTAATAATATTAAATAATACACTAAATATTCACATCTTAAACTACAAGTGACTCACAAAAACACAGCATATTACGGCTTCTACATGAAGCATTCAGTGTTTGGTCTAAATCGCCGACAAATGAGGAGACTAATATTTACAACAGATACAATGAACTAACATTCAAAACTACTACATCTAAAGACATCCAAACTGCAAGATGTTATACACTACTGACTGACTTATATGAGTAGTTGAATACCATTCGGGTGGTTTCAAGTTATTCGGCTCTTCGAGCTAAATCAGACAGGGTACATCGCTGATGAGCTTTGAGAAAAACGAATGAACGAAACGGCTGTCCAGTGTTTCGATCACTTCGATATGAACAGTAAGCACTACTGGTTGATGTGACTGGCATCCATCTAGTCATATCGATCAATAGTATATGGCTGGAAGCAGGTGAACGATATTTCATGATTTAAAATACTTAAGTGAGCATCAATTTCTCCACAAACGCTATAGAAATAAGGTTTCATAAAGATATATGTTATATTTGTGTTTGCATATCTGAGCAAGATATACGGTAACGAAGTGTTAACGTACTTAAGATGGACTTCATTACGAAATAAAATCAATCAGAGAACTAACTCAAATCAAGAAGACCTGTTTTACACTAGTTTGAGACTCTTTGGCAGTACAGACACCCACGATTTCGTCATAAACCGAGGCCATAGAGACCACATTACTAACTGAATGCTACATAAGAATCTAACAAAACATGATTTTGAACCTCTATCTGTGCATTTTCTCATTTTTTATGCATTCCTAGTGGGACATAGGGATTTTGTCTTGGGTTTTGAAATTCCAGTAGCGGTGGTGTTTTTTACGCAGTGGGGTTGGAAGCCCCATTCCGAAGTTTCCCTCGTTGCCAGGCTTCTTATCGACTAACTGGAGTTTCGAATTGTCAGTAAGGAATCAAACTCGGACTGTGTGCATGGTTGGGTGAGCACTCCACCACAGAACTACCGACGCACTCTACCCGTACAGTACTAACTTTATTCACGCCTAATAAGACAATCTCATGTACGTAATAACTATTTATAACAATAACTAATCACAGTACTGAGAGGAAAAAACATTAAAGTGGATTATAACTTACGCCAGTTGCTGAACGACGTGGAGTTGATAGTCTTTGAAATAATGTACCCAAACCAAGAGAAAAACGAAACTGTATATCTTCACGAAAATTAGCGCAAAGATTACGACAGTCAACATGAAATTCTGGCGAAAATGCTGTAGGATCCACTAATTGAAGGATGCGACTTTTACAGGCTTCATCTGAAACAATTGCAGCATGCTTATCTAAAATTTAAAAGGGTTAAACACCATAAAAACTTAACTGGCACTGGCATTTTGGTACAAAATGAAGTGATCAAGACAGAATCCACTGCAACTTCAGCAGTTATTACTAAAAATATTAACCAGTTCCTACATTTTAGATATACAGACATTTGGAGCACTAATTTGACGCCAAAGTTCATAAGATCCACTCATTTATAGTTATTTGTTAGTGGAAAATAGGGCTTCAAGCTAGAGCTTTGAAGTTTCGGCAGCAGTGGTTTTATTTTTACAGAGTGGGATTGCTAGCCTCAAGCCCTCTCTTTTTACTAGCCTTACTACCGGCTTAGCGAAGTCCAGGAGTGTATCGGCCGACGATCGGACTCTGGACCATGTGCGCGGTTAGCGGGCGTTCTGCCGTTGAACAACCACCAACGCAAGATCCACTCAAAGGAGTTAAAATGACTATGGTTAGAATAAAATTGCTACATTTTATAGAATAATGACACTACTTAGAGAACAGAAGAGGAATGTTCACTAAAATAACTGAATGACAACGGATGATTACTACAGATTGAAATGAACAGGAAATAAAGAATATTGGAATTAAACCCGAACAATAAAAGATAATTTGCTATTTATGTAACTTGATAGACACTGGAGTTAGATTCTGCATAGGATCGTCAGTGTATGTTACTGAGAAATACTAAAATAAGACTAGTGTAATACGGTTCTTATTTATTGCTTCCTTAGTGAAGACAATTTTAATAATGAATCAACTTCCCGTAAATTTCACAAATGGTTGACTGTAATTTTTGTCTAACAATTCATATGTGGTTCAACAGTGACTCTATGACAGTAGTTTAGGAAATATGAAGCATATATATTCTGTGTGTGATCAAATATGAACTTTTGAAACACTTAAGACCTTGATTTCCGAATCTCAGAAAAGACATGAGTTCCTTTCAAGGTTGCGGATACGCCTTGCTGGCTGGTAAGTCCCAACTAACACGAAATCTAGGTCCAAGGCTTCCTGCCGATTACCTCCAACCATCTAATAGCACTAATTTATCCTATAATTCTAGCAGAAAACTGATTCATCGTTAGAGATGTAAGAATCCTAATAATCTCAGCTAGCATATACATTGAATAACTCACTCATCATTAACTGTTCACATCTGGCAACTTCATTGAGAATATCACTAGAACAAGCTTCAGTAAGTTTACGACCCAATTCCCGCTCAACATGCGTGTTTAGTTCTCGTTTGTATACGTGTAATAAAGCTGGATCTGGATGGAAAGGACGTGAATAACTATCAACAAGTTCACTTAGGCGTCGAATCTCAGAATTTAAAGCACTGGCAACTTGAGCTTCAACGCGAGCTAAACTAGCATGTAGCATTTCATCCACAGCTTGAGTTACCTTCATCAATCGAGCTCGTACTTCTTCTAAATGTGCTTGGGACAGACGACGACATCGAACAGCAGCATCTCTAGGGAAAGTAATTTTGGCAATAGTAAAGATAATTAACAATAAATACAGAGATATATAAAACTGATAGTAACGGTTAAAAAATAAAGGTTCATGAATGATCCTTATTCAGACATTAATTAAAACAAAACACATACTTCAGTGAAGAGTCACTTTTCGGCGAACGCATTCACATAGCTGTACAATCGCAATTATACATGCTTAGTTTTGTATGTGTATACATTCGGTTTGTACGATAGAAAAAAATAATAAGTTAGAGTTACTGTTGTCAAGACATTTCAAAAATGTGATAAGTAATCAAAACTGTAATCAGAGGGAGGTGAAGACGGTAGTGGTGATGTGTTGTCAAAAAACATATTTATTAACACACACACACACACACACAAGAAGTTTAATAAGCACAATACAGTTACGTAATAAGATGGCTTAATGAATGAGGTTTGATTGGGATGCACATAGAAACAAAAGAAAATATGGAATTATTTAGGAGTTCTGAAAATTACAAATGTTATAAGGAGATAGAAGAAAAAGCAAGCACCCGAGCATCAAGTCAGTCGAAGTCAACACGGTTGTTACCATGACAGTAGAAGTGGTTGGATGATTTTCTTTTGTATGCATAACTCTGGCTTTTCCAACTGAATAGCTAAGGTTTCAGTAAAACAAAGTAGACAAAAGCGTATTGCCTTTGGTAGGTTATTCTTTACTTTGTAGATCACTTTGAAGAGGGGGTTTCTTGAAATGTAATGACCACTGTTGATGAGATGTTTGATTATCGCACTCTTCATACAGCTAACCTTACCTTTGCGTAGCTATGCCGGATAGGATATGCATTAAACGACCAATGTATCTGGCTCTACAACAACAGGTGAACTGATATACGCACATAGAAGTGGCCAGATGCGAGGTATTGTCCTTAAGGCATCTGCAGATCAATGGATGACTGGAGAACACTACTGTTAGCGTTGCTGTGAAGAATGTTCTTTTCTAAGATGCAGAAGTTCTTCTCTCGAAGATATCACAAGCTAAGTCTCCCTTGAAATCCAGATTCATGTAAAGTATCTTTTTTGAAACAAGTGATATTTCATTCTTCTGAACCTTTGGTTTTTGATATTCTTGTAGATGAATCTTGGTAGGAATCTATTTTGGATGAAGGTTTCTTTTAGGAGATGCAATTCTGCTTCCAGGAAGTCTGGACTGCAGATACGTCGGATCGGAGTGGTAAGGGATTTATTCAGATTTCGTTTCCCCTCAATTAAGGGACTAGTTCCCTTGTTATCAAAAATACGTAAGAGTGCATAAATCACCTGTATACAAAGTAAATCCGGTGGTAGTAAACAAGGAGTAGTCGTACATACAGGAAGGCCGATAGCTAATAAAGTATAGTCTAACAAGAGCCAGGGAATAATTAATGGTATAACTAAAAACCAGAGAATATATTGCAAAACCAGTTTAATTCATAATATGGGAATATTTCACACTATCAAAACCAGTTTATTTATAATTTTATTCCTTTAAGTTCTGAATGGAACATAGGGCTTCAAACTAGAGCTCTGAAGTTTCAGTATAAGTGTTTTCTTATTTTTACGAGGTGGGGTTGCTACTCTCATGCCCAACCTTCACTCTTTACCTGCCAAGCTACCGGCTTAGTGAGGCAAAGGAGTGCGTCAGCCAGGGACCGAACGCCTGACAATGTGCATGGTTGACGAGTGTTCTATCACTGGACCACCAACTCACTGCAAAACCAGTATTGTGTACATTCATTGTTAATAACATGAAATTTATATCAACATAACAATGGTAAGAAAATGATTAAGACATGACATTTTTTTTCTTTCACGTTCCCCAATGGAACATAGGGCTTCAAGCTAGTGGCTTGAAGTTTCTGTAACAGTGTTTATTTTACAGGAAGGGGTTGCTAGCCTCATGCCCAACCTTACCTCTTTACCAGCATTATTTCTGGCTTAGTGAGGTATAGGAGTGCGTCGGCCGGGGATCGAACCCCAGACCATGTGCATGGTCGGCGAGTGTCCTAACCGCTATACCACCGACGCACAAGACATGACATACACAGAGAATAATAGAACTTCCAAAAAAACCACGATCTGGATAGTATAGTGAAAAGAAACATGTACACCTTTGATACGACAAAATGGATACGGGGGTTTTTCAAATAAAAACTCCACCTAAATGTAAAAGACGCTTACTTTTCTTCAACAGTAGTTTCATAGATGTTTTCCATTATTGTTCGAAATCTATTCACCACATCTTTACCTTGTTCAGAATGAGCAGCAAATTTAGTTCGGGTAGCAGACTCTGAAAGATTTTTCTATGGAAAATAAAAACATTCCAGATTAAATCTTTAGTATACATCCGATTGTAAAAAACAACAGAGATTGAATACATGAGTAATCAAAACATATCATATGATAAAAGTGCATACTAAATCTAACTTATGTGTCATTGGGTTATGTCAGATGAGAATGCTTATGTAATCATTTCGCAATATTGTTTAACCATTGGATCAATATTTACCTGAAACAAAAGGTTCAGACAAACCGGTGACCCCAAATTGTGTACTCACGATAGACATTAATGGACATAGACACTAATCATTTTAAACACCAACTAATGACTGTTACACAATGACTAGGGTTTGTGCCGATAATAAGCATTATGATATCCATTGTAAGACAACTGTGGTGAGAGCTGTTTGCTAGCCACAATTGTAGGCAACAACTTACGTCAATGTTCACGTCCCGCATCGGGGTCAAGAGAAAAAACGATAACAAAGCTTAACCTTGAGGAACTCACCAACCAATCACAGCAGACTTGGTGTGTGCAAATACGATTTGCAGATACATGGCTTAACTTTCTAAAAAACGGTCACAAGCAGTACAGAATTATCTTCAGCAAGAAAACAGCCAATCAGAAGACGTTGTTTCTCTGCTAACAATAACGAATAATAATGTACATAAAAATCTATAAATATCTGTTGATTTTTTTCAATAAACGATCTGTTGGCTGACCCTTGTCTTCTGTCGTTACACAACTACTTCTGATACTTGGATTAATATGCATTATATATTGCGAATGTAATGACACTGACAGTATTCAAGAATGCTTTTTTGTTTATATTATTTATTACTTACCGTTGGTTGATTATGTTGAACTGAAATGCTCAGTTTCTAATGTTATGTCAACTGCTAGTACGGACTCTTCAACAACCTCTTAAGGTTAACAGAATGTTATTTGATTGATGGCGACCAACAGTGGAATCTTACTAGATGTACCTGCATCCTAATGGGTGGTGGTGCTCCCAATGATACTCGAGCCCACCAACTCAATCGACTGAGTAACCACCACCTAGTGGATAGCACTGTGGATTTCGAAACAATTGGTTAAGGGTATCGGTGGGAATACCATCACTTACCAGGAAACGACTACATCCAAATGACACGTACAAACTAAGAAGACATACACAACCTGGATTCCACTATTTGTCATCAGTAGCTAAACAACCGTTGAGATTTTGTTTAAATTTTTATTCTGATTCAAAAGAATGCAGTTTAACGCAGTGGTGTGGCGAGTGCTACTGATACGGTGTATCGGTAGTATATAAAGAGATGTTGGTTGGCATAAAAAACATCAAATAGCATGGAGATATATTTGATTTCAGAGAAGGCAAATTATACAGCGTTGTGGAGATACATAGGAAACGTGAAAGGAACGTAAAGAAACACAACATAAAGTTCAGAAGTACCACAGCATGGCAATGTCTGACTGTGAAGGGAGTGCCAAGAAAGTACATTGCACTAATCAAGGCACTCTATTCAAACTCACGTAGTCGTGTAAGGGCTTATGGGGAATTGTCATCTGAATTGGTAACAACCAGCGGTGTCCAACAGGGATGTCCACTTTCCCCATTTCTGTTTAACTTCATCATAGATATGCTAATGGAAATATCCTTAACTGAACGTAATGACTTAGGAATCGACTTGTTACCAGGGAATAATCTTATGGACTTAGAATATGCAGATGACATAGTCCTGTTAGGGGGGGATGCTGACAAAATGCAGAGTCTTCTGAACACCTTGAGCAGCAATCTTCGTATATTTGGCATTCGATTCGCCCCTGCAAAATGTAAGATGCTGCTACAGGACTGGACCACGTCAACCCCTAACTTAGTGATAGGGATGGAAGTGATAGAACATGTTGACCACTTCACCTACTTGGGAAGTTGTATTAGCACCAACGGATTGATTGGCGATGAAATCTCAGCACGGATCCGAAAAGCTCGAGCTGCTTTCGCTGACTTACACCATCTCTGGCGTAGGCGTGACATCCGGTTATCAACCAAGGGACGTGTGTACCGCTCATCAGTTCGCTCCGTCCTTCTCTATGGCTCTGAAACATGGCCAATACGCGTTGAAGACATGAAAAAGTTGACTGCTTTCGATCATAGATGTCTGCGATCTCTGTCTCACGTTAGGTGGTTTCACAAGATAAGTAATGTTGACGTTAGGCGTAGAGTGTTGGGCAAAGAGGGAAAATCAATCGACGAGGTTATAAAGTTACATAGACTAAGATGGCTAGGTCACGTGCTGCGCATGCCTAACCACCGCCTCCCCCGACGGGCTTTGCTAGCTGATATAGGTGAAGGTTGGAAAAGAGCCAGTGGTGGCCAAACAAAAACATGGCCTCATCAATCCATGAAGTCCTTGACAGTTAAACTGAGTCAGGTAGGGAGATGCAGACTCCCGGGTTGGGGCCCTCGGGACTCTAGGAATCAATGGCTGGAGACAATAGGTGACATGGCTCAAAATCGTTGTCAATGGCGCAGATGTATTCAATCTCTGTAATCTTTCATATTCCTTTCTACCATTACCCATTCTGTCTCACTCTTATATTTGTCAAACTCTATTAATTCTCTTCACTCATCTTCTTGTCTACCTCTGTGTGCTATTTGGAACGTGGCAACTCGAACTGCTGCACTTTGGTGCCAAGTTCTATGTTGAATCCAGACAGACAGACAGCATGAAGATCTGTGCAAATGGTGCATTGAAGATAAGGCGTACATAATTTGGCAATGTGGAGATACCAATTTCCTAATAAACATTCCTTTACCAAGTCTTTCGTCTTCTACCGTTACAGTAGTACATATTTAGGTCCTTGGAAAACAATTTTACCCGGGCAATATTTTTTCACTACTGCATTCGTCCAGAATAAATTGAAGCATTAGTTATTGAAGATGATTCTCACATAACATTAAAGTTGTAATAGATGTTTTAAATTCACCATTCATGATGGTACAAACAAATTCAAAACCTTTCAAGTTCGGGGTCCATTTTCTAAGAAATAACTTTCCAAGAAAAAAGTACATTTATTCGTATGTTAAGAAAAAGTACTGGAAACAACCAAATTAACTAATAACTAAGTAGCTATTTATGCACTCTGTTGTCTCCTTTTGTTTTGATCGCACTGAATAGGACTAAAAGTGTAATTCAGTATGTGAAACCAAATGATCCGAAATGTGGAATGCCAGCTAAGTCATTGTTATCAACATACACAGGCAAAAAAACAGATATAAGAAAATAACTCCACCACTAACCTCGAAAACTGTTTCGAAATTCTGAAATTCTAAAAGCCTGTCTTTCCATCCTTCAGCCATATAGGCCACTAAAATGAATTAAAAACAATGAATCGTATAATACTGTGTGAAATAATAAAATCTTCACAAAGACTCAATGCCTGCTGATATCACGTCTTTGCACAAACAACAGTGATTCACTGTTAAACCCTTTCTGAAAACGAAAAATTTACAAGTAACAGCAAAACATAAGAAGTTCAGTTAATTGTCTGGTGTACATTTGTAGATCTTGAACAAACCTCCATACAGAATGATTTTCTTATTCAAACAGTATTTCAGGTGTTAAAACTACCAGGACCAAGTCTGACGTAATATTGAGTGGAAAATACTTCCCATAAAGCTATTTGTTTCTTGGTGATACATAGAACTAGGGCACAGCGGTCTACACATTAATGAGTCATAGGATTTCAACCAATTGCACCAGACGCAGAGCGGAGCAGCCGCAGTGACACATACCCTAAAAAGTTAGTTGCCATCCAGGGCCTAACAAGGAAGCGACTCACCACTAAAACCCATATAACACAGTCAGTAGTAACGTCTCTGACTGAAGCACTGGATGACGTGGGTTCGAGTCTCAGAAGCGACATGAGTTCCTTTCAAGGTTGCAAATAAGCCTCGTCGACTGGTGAGTGCCAACTAGCAAGAAACCTTGGTCCAAGGCTTCCTGCCGATTGTCTCCAACCTTCTCCATGTAAATTGCCACTTTTCGATGATGAAATATAAAAACTAGGTGAATGACAACCGGCCTTAAAGACAGGGAACTCTGCCAGTGGATTTTTGACACTGGGAAAAGGCCCAAAAATTAAGAAGAATTGGTTACAGGATTTCATCATGAGCTGACATTGGTTAGAGAACCATTGGAAAGCCTGGGAGTACTGGACAGCTCTTTCGTCCCAGTTTGGGACTCTTCATCAGTGGTATACGAGCTCGCCTTGTAACCAGAAGATCCTGGGCTCGAATCCCGTGGGTGCGTATTGCTGAAGAGTCCCAAACTGGGACGAAAGAGCTGTCCAGTACTCCCAGGCTTTCCAATGGTTCTCTAACCAATGTCAGCTCATGATGAAGTCCTGTAACCAATCAACCAAATCCCTACAAACCAATATTTGAATAAGAAGAATTGGTTTGTTGATAGTCAACAAATGAGACATGCAAGTTAACAGTTTGTCTTTTACGCTGACATTTAATCATTTCCTTTCATCAAGAATGTTCACAGAATAAGAAGAAACTTACTTAGCTCAGTAAATTTACATACATATGTCTTGGTGTAGCAGTGCATAAAACAAGTTGCAATAATTCATAACAATAAAGTGAATCACGCAAACCGAAAAATTAGAAGCACGATACAAAAACATTGTGTTGCATATATAGAAAGAACACTTAGAACCACATAGGCGAGAAAAATATTATCAACAGTGTGATTTATTCAAAACTAGATCAGAAGAGGATTTTCAACATACAAAGGTTCAAATATCCTACATTTTTAAGGAGCCTATATGACGCAAATCTCTCAAATATAAAAATCAGTGAAAATTACGTTTCAAAAGACTGGGAATTTAAACGAAATTCAAAGGATAAACAGACGTTTATACAGACTTCGATAATCTTGAATTAAACACCTCAAGCATTAAAATCGTATTAACATAACATCGGCAACTTACCTGCTGGTAAAGGAGATCCTATGCTTGTGGCTGCTCCAGGAGGAGCTGAATGAGGGCTTTCACCTAAATTGGCTTTCGTTCGCATTGCTAATGCTTCGCGTGCCGAAACAAAGAACACATGTCCTTCTGCTTCTGCACGTGAACAAACTTTCAACTCATCAACAAGGAATGCTACACAACGCTGAAGATGTTGTTCACGAACCTGAACAGAAATTTGAAATTGCGTCAAAAAAATATCAGTCAGGAATCTTTTAAAAACTTTAATCAAACAGTATATCATAAAGTGATCATTGATTGAAAGTAGTGATAGATATATTAGCATAGAATGCAAATTGATTGAGGAACCCTTTTCTAATTCACCAGTATTAAGTAACGACAGTAAATTGAACAATCAAAATATGGATTAAACTGAACTTCTACCGTTACTATTAAGACACATAATGGTTGCTGGTGAATACATGGGCATCGAATCATAAATTATTTACAAATTAATTTGTGCTCCAATGTTATGTAGACATTCGAATACTCGTATAAAGAGCAGATTAAATGAGTAACCAATAAAATGACTTCAGAATATTTTTGTGGCTCTATCGACCATATATCATTGAGAATGAAATAAGAAGACGACGATTATTATTGTTCCCTTTAGTTCCTAGAGGAACATAGGACTTCAGCCGCACGTCTCCACTGAGTTCGCTTCTCCCCCGACGTTTTAACCTGCCTCCACGTCTGCTCACATGCTTTCATCTCCTCTTCACATGACCTCCTCCATGTCACCGTCGCACTGACAACCAACTCGCAGCTTCCCATCTAGGTTCCACTCCAGAGACAGCCTGGTGTGTGATGTCATTTGATGGTCTTCTCGGAGTATGGCCAGTCCACCTTCATTTCCTCCTGGACACATTCCTGTTGCACAATTGGTTCCAGCTAAGTTGATCAGCTCCCGGAAATCCCTGCCTGTTGCTGATCTTTTCTGGCCGGTCATCTGATCCTGCCTAGTATTGAGTGAAGACAGTTGTTGAAGGTCTGTAGCTTGCTTGAAGTGCCCTTTGTGACGCGGCGTCATGTCTCTGATCCATATAGTAGCACTGACTTCACATTGGAGTTGAAAATCTGGATCTTATTTTTCATGCTAAGTGCTGTTGATTTCCACACAGACTTAAGAGTAATGAAGGCTTTCCTTGCTTTCCCGATCTTCGCTTTCATATCCTCGTCAGTTTCATCCGCCTGTAGCTGGAACGATGATAACCAGGTAGGTAAAATAGGTTGCTTGTTCAGATTTCTCCCATTTATGCCGATTGTTGTCTGTTGTTATTGCTGTCGCTGTTGAAAAGGAATCTTCATCACCTCTGTTTTCTCCATGTTCACCTGAAGTCCTATCCTCTCTGGATGCTTCTTCTGCCAACTTGTTGCTTTTCATTCGCATATCTTCCAGTTTGTGGGAAAGCCGACATACATATATCATCGGTGAAGTCCAAGATTTTTTATGTGGGTTCATTTTATATCTGTTTCCTCATAGCTTCCTGTCTGTCGCATTACCCAGTCTACCACAATCAGGAAAATCATTGGAGATAGTAGGCAGCCAGCTTGTCTTACTACCGTCTTCACTTCAAAGGATTCCATGAGTTTTCAGTTGTGGATTACTTGTCATGCAGCACTATCGTACAACTATTAGATGAGGTAAATGATTGTTGGTGGCACCCCGTAGTAGCGAAGTAGTTGCCAAATCACCTCTCGATCGACGCTGTCGAAGGCCTTTTCAAAGTCGATGAAGTTGAGATAGAGAGGTGACTGCCATTCCAAGCTTTGTTCAATGATGATCCGTAGAGTGGCGATTCGATCAATACATGACTTGTTTCTCCTGAATCCAGCCTACTCCGGTCAAAATTTTTCATCCAGGGCTTGTTTGATTCTCTCCAGGATGATGTGGCTTAGTATTTTGCTTGGGAGAGACAGAAGCATAATGCTTCACCGATTCTTGTATTCACTTAAGTCTCCTTTCTTTGGCAGCTTGAGTAGGTAGTCTTTCTTCCAATCAGCAGGTACCTTGCCCTCTTTCCACGCCTTCTTCAGTAGTGACGTCATCAAGTCCACTAATGTATGCAGGTCTATTTTCAACGCCTCTGTAGGGATTTCGTCTGGTTCTGCAGCCTTTCCAGTTCTTAGCATCTTTATGGCCTTCAGGATTTCTGATTTCGTCGGAGGGTTCATATCCACTGGTAGTTCTGCTTTCGCTGTTGGTATTACTGGGCGTGTTTTAAGTCGAGTTAGAAGTTTTTTGAAGTTTTCGGCCGTGTTTTCTTTGCTCCACCTCTTTGGTGATTGACTTTTCATTGTCATTCTTCATTGGCTTAATTTGTGTCAATCTCTTCCCCGATAGGAACCTAGTTGTTTGGTAGACATTTTTCAAGTAAAAGGTTATTTTACCACAATATGTAAGACTTATTTGTATTCCTGAGATTTAATTAAGCCCCAGGTCAACTAGTTACCGTACACTTTGATGAAGGAACATAAGGCTGCCAAAGACAAAGGATACTCCACCAGTTCAAATTCAACCAAAAGCTGTATTCGGCATTTTCTCACTTGATTGGTACAACTATTTTAACACTTACGAATAAAACACTTAACGTTCATTTCCCTTTCACGCCTCTTATTCAAATCAACTTGATGTATATATAGGGCATATCTTCACATTTCCACTTGATACCAAACTATGTAGTACGCTTGTAGCATAACTGTTGTAGTCAATAGTTAGAGCATTCCTTTTACAATGTTTCTTAATAGGAAAGCTGTTCACACTTTACAAGCTTATCTAGTGAGTTTCAAATTACATTAATTCTTAAAGGAAATGAATAATATAAAAAGAAGTGAAAGAAAAATAAACAAATACATACCTCGTTTACATATTCTATTTCATTTGCTGAAGCATCCCAACGATTATTAATAATAAAAATGTTAGGCTTGGATAACTTCTGACTAACTTTGTGAAAGAAATCCTTCTCCTGCAAAATGAAAAGCAAAGAATAACCTGTAAAAGATGGCTTAGGCGCGAAATCTTCAACCACAAACAAGCTTTCAGAAGATTCCTATCACAGTGAACTATAGCTAAAAAGCTCCAATATATTGGATCCCGAATGAATAATTTTAAAGCGAAACCTTCACTTCTTTCCTATTGTTACAAAAGAAGTATTGCTGATTACTGACGTTGGATAATCTATTATTCCTGACTGCTCGTTACCCAACTAGAAAAAAATTCCTTAAAATATCCAATAAGAGAATTCCTTTAAGTTTACAATTGTCAATCCCTATCAAACTAGCATCTCTAACTAGCATTTTCTAAATAAAACTTAAACATGTTAAATACTTACAGCTTGCATCAATGTTGACTCGGCATTAGCAACGAGGATAAAAACATCTGCATCCAAGCAATGAAGATCGATCCACTTATCCATATCAGGATCTACATTAATACCGGGACTATCCAAAAGAACAACATCTTCACGAAGTAGTCTGCAATGTGAGTTGGGCCAAAATATCTTCAACAGCGTGTCCGCAGAAAGTTTAACACTACTGAGGGCATGTGCCAACTGACCAACAGAATCGATAGGACGAGCCTGTTCAGAAAGAATATATGATGATTTGATTAAAAGATTCTCTACAGCTGATTAAAGTAATGTATTGTTACAGGAAATATGTACAATGGAGATGTAGCCCATAGAGTCTCAAAAGATGGGTCCTGGCTTTAAATCCTGTCCTTCTTACTAGGAGACTAGCAAGCGTTATTAGCCCTTACACAATAATTGTAGAGCACACCCTAGTACATGAAAAGTCTACTTTGGGTAAATGAGTTTTAACTAACTAGTAACTACGTACAAGTGCATATGATACGTTACATGGCATACTTACATGCGTGCTAATGGTACAGCACCTTTATTGATTTTGAAATTAAACGGCACTAAAACATGTTTCCTAGGGGATGAATCACCCAGTTATAAAAGTGAACTAAGAACTTTGATATTAACAGCTCAATACACGAATTAGTCACTTAAATCATGATTTCACACATCCGTTACATGAATGTGAACATGACATGCACCAGAAAAAGTTGGATTCGAAGGAGGGACCAGTATAGATTTGAGAAGAATTGCTCTAAGTTGATAATCTCAATTTCTACCCTATAATGGCCTCTACAAAACATTAAAATCAATATCAATATTTGGACAATGTGTGCTTAAACATTCATTACGTGATCAAACTATCTGACGAACAATAGTGAAACATCCACCTTATGCTTTGTCACATTTTCAGCCGATATAATTAGTACTTGTGCCTACCTTTCTGATTTCTCTGGTTTGGCAATTACAGAGCACACAAGTAACTTCTCATAACAGCCTTCAACTAAGAACAAAGATTAGTTCTATTTTCAGTAACTTCAGTATACATTTGACTAACGTAAAATCAGACCATCGCGTTGTGCCATTTCATTAATAAAATTTAAAACGACATACGGTGAACAATATGTTTCATTAAAATTAAAAAATCATATTCACAGACAGATACACAAATGTGCCGAACGACAACAATTCATTCAGCCATAAACTTCTTTGAAGGATTTAATAAACGTATCTGAATGGAATTATAATTTTAAAACCCTATAAAAACTAATTGCTTAGGTGTACCTTCAAAATTAAATGACTGTTTAAACAGTCAGACCATTTACTCAGATACGTTAACTATGTACAGTTAGCTGATATCAGTAAATGTACTTATGTTAAGCCAGTAGCATAATAAGACTTCGTATAAGTAAAATGTCTGGCGAAAAAAATGAGTAACTAATCAAACCTGGCTGGGAATGTCGGACGATTCGCTGCTAGCAGTTCCAGATTCTGCCATAAGAAGGTATCCTGTTTCTTGGTCAGTGCCTTGGATCTGCAGGAAACAACTGGTAGTGTGGCCCAAACCAGAAGGTAATAATTTTGAGCCCAGCATTGCATTTATCACAGTACTTTTACCATTTGACGTTCTGTATATGAAAAAAAGAAAAATATTCCTGTTCATTTCGTGAATGTAGAGTGCAGAAATGAAGAAAACGAAAAACAAATGTACTCGATGACTGTCCAGTCAACCTTTGCTTCAATAATTCCACATCATAAAATTAAAAGTAACGGAGCTTGTTGTATCTGTATCCAGAAGTAAGTATTAAGGAGAATAGCATGAACGGAAAGACAGAAAAATCCAAGTACTACCTAGTACAAATTCACATTGATTCAGCTTGTCACACCTCGTATTTTTACAACAGATAGATATGGGAAAGTGAGACAAGGAGATAATATAAATAAAGATCATATAGCACAACACGCAAGATAGTAAATAACAAAATAAGACAGCACAATAAACACACAAATAAATTATGAATGTATTTTCATTACTGGTATTCTAAACCACATCAACTAGGTCAAATGACCATAAGTTCTCGTGGTCACTAACCTCAGTCACACAACCTACACTCTTCTACACGACATCACCGCTCTCAGAAAATACCTATCAAGTCTCCGCGCGCAGAATTTGTAAGACAAACGAATGATGATTCCAAAACTCTGGACATTTTCATTCCTCGCCTGATTTTTTCGACAAACAAAAAGTAAGTGTGGATAAATACTCCCAACCTCTAAAGATTTATCCTTAACGGTCATATTTATTAGTCATACAGCACAAGCAAGTGCACTATTGTGCAGTATGTTGACTTACTGACTGGTTTCAAGATAGAACTTTGCACATATGTGCGCCAGTTCAAGTCGCCACACTCCTTCCATGTAGCACACAAACCAGGAGAAGAAAGTAGAAGAAATGCATAATAGAGACAATAAACAGAGGTGTAAGACAAAGGAATAGAACGAAGAACAATGTAGTTACACTGGAAATCATAGGTCACAAGGAGTGGATGCATCTGCACCAACCATTGAGAACGATTTTGAGCCATATCACCAATTGTTTCCAACCACTGGTTTTTACCGTCCCGAGGACCCCAACCAGGAAGTTTACACCTTCCTACGTGGCTGGCTTAAACTAATTGTTGTGGATTTCATTGACTGATGAAGCCATGTTTTGGTTTGACCACCACTGGCTCTTTTCCAAACTGACCCTATGTCACCTGACATTGCCCGTCGAGGAAATCTATGGCTAGACATGCGAACCCATGTTCTAACTATCTCTCTCAACCAATGTAGCTCCACAACCTGGTCGACTGTTTTCCCCTCCTTACATAGTACTCTATGCCTAACCTCAATATTGCTCACCTTAAGATGGGAGATAGAGCGAAGGCACCTATGATCAAGGAGAGCTAATTTTTTCATGTTTCCCACTATTAATGGCCAGGTCTCCCAGTTATAAAGGAGGACGGAGTGGACTGTTGAGCAGTACACCCGTCCTTTATTGGATAGCCGGATACCACATCTACACCAGAGACGGCGTAAACTGCCATATACGAAACTAGCCTTCTATATCCGTGCTAAAATTTCGTCACCGATCAACCCGTTGGGGCTGATGCAACTGCACAAATAAGTAAAGTGTTCAACACACTCTACCACTTCACTCCTTATTTCTAAGCTAGAAGTCAGTGAGTGCAGTATGCAAGACAGTAGATGGTAAATCAGATACCCCACAAAGTCATGGAAATGAAATAGGCCTTTCATATCTCCTAAAATCTAATCGGATGTGACTTCCTAAGTAATCGAAATGGTCGACGCACTCAATTCTGTGTATAGTCAGAATAGGCATCAGCGCACACCTTATTTCTCAATTTGCGTAAAGTCAAAAGAATACAAAAATGAAGTATAATATCTCCCTAAACTCCTTTGCTTCAATGAACTTACTTAAAAATCGGCTAGCACTCACTAGGCACACTGTTGTGAACTTTTCTTATAATACGTATCTAGTCATATTCATATCTCTACCGCTATTAACACTCTTTTTTCCTTTATATGTTTAAGCCATTCCGGCTTCATTGTAAAATGAATAAAGCCTAAATTCTTGGTTCATTCGTCTTTTCAAGATTCAAGCATCACTCATCGTTCTAAGACTCAATCACCTTCGTAACAATTTATTCATTTTACAATATTCATGGAACGATTTTTCCGACCTGATCGGTTCGACGTAGAACCTAACGCAGTTGGAGCTGCCAAGAAGTGGGATCACTGGTTTGCGACTTTTTCCTACTTCATTGAATCAATGGGATCCGAAAATCCTTCGAAACTACATATTCTCTTCAATCATATTTCTACTTCTGTATACGAATGCATTTCTGAATGCAAAACATACGAAGAAGCTATCGACACTCTCAAGAGTCTCTACATGCAGCCTTGCAACGAAGTGTTTGCTCGACACTTGTTAGCAACGTGTAAACAAGAATCTGGCGAAAATCTGGATCAGTTTGTTCGTCGACTCAAGTCGCTGACTACAGATTGTTCATTCAGGCAGTTACAGCCGAAGAACATCGTAACGAATCTCTACGTGATTCATTCATCTCAGGTATACAGTCTTCGATGATACGCCAGAGGCTATTAGAACAGCGTACTTTAACTTTTCAAGCGGCATACGATCAAGCACGAGCTCTAGAGATGGCACATCAACAATCGCAGTCATACAACAATCCTGTTACACCTTGCGCGTCCATTTCTTTACATGATGTACCTCATTCATCAGATTCCACACCCTCCGTCAATGAAACAACCATTGCTGCCGTTGAATCCAAATGCTTTTTCTGTGGTAATCGTAGACATCCTCGTTCCAAATGCCCCGCCCGTGATGCAGTTTGCAAAGCTTGTGGCAAGCAAGGACATTTTCAGAAGGTTTGCAGGTCTGCGCCATCTACGAAAAAAGGTCCATCTTCAGTTAACTCTATAATTTCATCTCTCGTTGTGGCTTCAGCACCTCAAAGTCTCACTGATGCTGTTACGCAGCTTACTGTCAATGGGAAATCAATGCAAGCTCTAGTGGATACCGGAAGCAGTGAGAGCTACATCTCTTCCTCAGTTGTTCGTAAGTATAACTGGAAAGTCCATAAGTCTCGAAACAGAATCACAATGGCGAGTACGAATCTTACTAGTCATACTGAAGGACATTGTCTTCTATCCATCTGCTATAAAAACCACACTTATGATCTATTCAAATTTTCCATTCTTCATAATTTATGTGCAGACGTCCTTCTTGGACATGATTTTTTAAAACTTCACAAACACATTGAGATTCCTTTTGGGGGATCAAAGCCGCCTTTTTCTCTCTGTGGTCTACCTTGTGTTCGCGTCGACCTGCCTACTCTGTTTGAAAATCTTTCAAAAGACTGTAAACCGATCGCGATAAAATCCCGGCGTTATTCTCGTGAAGATGAAAGTTTTATTTCCACCGAAGTCAACCGGTTACTGCAAGAAGGTGTTATTGAACCTTCTAATTCTCCTTGGCGAGCTCAAGTTCTTGTTACGTCAAACGAACGCCATAAAAAGAGGATGGTAGTTGATTATAGTCAGACAATCAATCGATTCACTTTTCTGGATGCTTACCCATTACCTAGGATTGACGAAATGATAGAAAAAATCGCACAATATGACATATTCAGCACTCTTGATCTGAAGAATGCTTATCATCAAATTGCCCTAAGGAACGAAGATAAACCATATACTGCTTTCGAGGCTTGTGGGAAACTTTACCAATTTTGCCGAATTCCTTTTGGTGTTACCAATGGCGTAGCTTGTTTTCAACGCATTATCGATGAATTGATCAGTAAAGAACAACTCACAAGCACGTTTGCCTACATTGACAATGTCACTATCTGCGGCAAAACTCAGGAGGAACACGACAAAAATCTAAACAAGTTTATGGTAGCAGCACGCAATTATGGAATAACCCTTAATGATTCCAAAAGTGTGATCTCAAGCAGAAGCATACAATTACTCGGTTATGAAGTTTCAAAGGGGTTATTAAACCAGATCCCGATCGGCTAAAACCTCTTCGTGATCTAGAACCACCCACAGATATCAAATCTCAACAACGGGCCGTTGGATTATTTGCTTATTATTCACAGTGGATCCCTCGCTTCTCAGATAAAATCCACCCATTGGTAAATAATCGGATTTTCCCTCTTGATATCGAAACTCGAAATGCTTTTGACAAACTGAAAGACGACTTAGAACGTGCAGTCGTTGTGGTAGTTGATCCGAAAGCACCCCTTGTTGTTGAAACAGATGCTTCAGATGTCTCAATTGCAGCTACATTAAACCAGAATGGTAAACCTGTCGCCTTCTTTTCTCGAAGTGAGAAACATCATTCATCGGTTGAGAAAGAAGCCTATGCCGTGGTTGAAGCAATTCGTAAGTGGAAGCATTACCTTCTCGGAAATCACTTCAAACTTGTCACTGATCAACGTTCAGTAGCATTCATGTTTGACAAGATTCATAAAGGCAAAATCAAGAACGATAAAATAATGCGTTGGAGAATTGAGCTATCCCCTTATCAATATGACATCATTTATCGTCCTGGAAGGGATAATCAAGCTGCTGATACATTTTCCCGTAGTTTCTGCGGTTCCTTGCAGTCAGTGTGCGACTTGAAATTTCTCCATGACTCTATGTGCCATCCTGGAGTTGTCCGAATGATGCATTTTGTACGCTCGAGAAACCTTCCATTCTCCCTTGACGAGGTGCGCAATGTAACCAGTAAATGCGTGACATGCTGTGAGTTAAAGCCTCAATTTTACAATCCCTCTAATTTCAAACTCATAAAAGCAACCCAACCTTTTGAAAGGTTAAGCATCGACTTTAAAGGACCTCTACCGTCAGCTAGCCGCAATCACTATCTGCTCACGCTGATCGATGAATATTCTCGATTCCCCTTTGCATTCGCCTGCCCCGACATGTCTTCTTTGCCAACTGTTTTCGATTTTCGGTATGCCTTCCATACATACCGACAGAGGCGCTGCTTTCATGTCTACCGAATTACGGGCATTTCTTCTGGAGAAAGGCGTAGCAACCAGTCGTACTACCTCATACAATCCTCAAGCCAATGGGCAGGTCGAGCGCCTCAATGGAACACTTTGGCGTGCCATCACTCTAGCATTAAGATCACGGGGCCTACCAACGGCACAATGGGAGTCTGTTCTACTCGACGCCTTGCATTCCATCAGATCTTTGCTCTGTACTGCAACGAACGCCACGCCACACGAACGACTGTTTACCTATAACCGAAGATCGACATCTGGGACAACTCTTCCTACTTGGCTCACTGTACCAGGACCAGTACTTCTCCGGCGGAGTGTTCGTCAGTCCAAATTCGATCCCCTGGTTGAAGAGGTGGAGCTATTGAATTGTAACCCGCAATTCGCTCACGTTCGCTTCGGTAATGGACGTGAAGATACAGTTGCTCTTCATCATCTGGCACCCAAAGGCGAAGATATAGATCAAGTTGAAAATTCAATACCGGAGGGCGACGCAATTCCTGAGCAACAAGTAAATGGGGATGCGACCACTGATCCTAATATTCTTCGTGAAGAAAATACAACTGAAACGAACAACGGGCGTATTCTTTTGGAAAAACAACGTGTACGGCCTTACAATTTGCGTACCAGAGAAGCGTGACATAATGGCTCATTCCTTTTCAAGCCGCAGTGAATGTTGTGAACTTTTCTTATAATACGTATCTAGTCATATTCATATCTCTACCGCTATTAACACTCTTTTTTCCCTTTATACGTTTAAGCCATTCCGGCTTCATTGTAAAATGAATAAAGCCTAAATTCTTGGTTCATCCGTCTTTTCAAGATTCAAGCATCACTCATCGTTCTAAGACTCAATCACCTTCGTAACACATACTGTCAAGTAAAACAAGTGCAGTTATTTTGCTAAAACTAAAAAATGCAGACATTTTGTGAAGTTTAGGAACCGACTTATATTACTACCAAAAAATTATAAAACAACAGATGTACACCATAAACCACGAAAATAAAGAGATAAGTTAGTTTTAAGCTAGTAGGTGACACTGATTTACTAGCTCGAGCACTTGACTCTTAGTCAAGCGGCCACGGGTTCTAATGCTGCCCCACCTACTTCATACTGGAAGACGACGTAGTAACAGACCCTACACAATAAATGTGGCCCACAGTCTGGTACATGGACAAACCTTTCTCGATCAACTTAGAACACGATTGAAAGGAGATTCGAAAAACTCAAGTCACCCCCAAGACTTTTAAAGCGGCAAACGGGATACATGAAAATTCTAACTACCACTCTATTGACCCAAACCACTAACTGTAACCGCGTAATATCTGTTAAGTTAATTTGGACGTAATTAATAGCATACTTGAGACACTTTCGCATGGATGAAAGCATTTTTTGAGATTAAGAAACGCAGAAATGTGTTTGGGACTGAAAAGAAGCGCGATAAACTACTGCTATTTGTTGCCAACATACACGACAGGTAACCTGAAGTGTAGCAACATTTTACTTTAAAATACAAACAATTATTTACCTCCCACTTAGCAAGAAAGTTATTTAAAATTATATTAGAGATTAGCCGGTAAACATACAGATTTGTAACGCAACTAGTAGTGAGGATACCAATATCAGGAGGGGGCTTTATACGAGGCTACAACATCCCTATAAGAGATAGTGCGAATAGTTTAAATTGTAAAGATGGCACGAATACACCTACTTGTGGTCTATTTCGAGTTCCATAGCTACTGTCTTCCAAGTATTGGCCCAAGCTCCAATAGAAACTGGAGCCAATGCATATATATATATATATATATATATATATATATATATATATATGTAACTACACGAATTACTTAGGGATTTTTAATATGAGATTAAGAAGCAGAGAAAAACATGGTTCACTTGAAATCGTCTCCACGTTAAAAACAAGACTACCTAACATAAAACCCGAATTACCTCCCAAAAAATGCACATTTCATTTGGTTACGGGCGATTATTTCTTGAATATTGCGAATTTTCTGTAGCTGGTGATCAACTTCTAAAAACGTGCCTTCGCCAATCAGCCTGGAGAATTTCTCTTCTATTGGAAAATAAAAATTAAAGAGTTTTTACCTTGACTTTGTTCCTCAGTAAATCTATGACAGTCGGAAACATAACTCAGAATTTCATCATATATACTGCCTATTTCCTTTTTGGCCTCCTTGAATTTGTTCAGGTGTGGGTGACTGAGTTGACGTCGAAGGCCTGTTACTTTCTGACGCAAGTCACCCGCAGCCATGTACGGATTTGACGACATTACAAATACTAAAGCTCGGAGAGAAGGGGTAGCGGACAAAATCAAACAACTTTCTGATTAGTTACCTTGTGTCCAATTTCCAATAGACTCCACACCAGAACCTAGTTACCTGGTCAGAAAATCTACGAAACATATCAATATAATTTTGATTACATTTAACATATTTCCGCTTTTTGCACTAAAAAACATACACTCATACGAAAGGATTTGCGTTATGCATGTCGCATGAAATGTCACAATAGTTTCAATCATTAAAATAATTGAAAAAGTCCATTCCAATGTCTCTGAAAAAAAGTGAGGAAAAACGTAAATTCTTAGCCGGCTGTTGAACAAAAGAGCAGCTAATGACAGGGATTACTAATAATATAACGCAAGGATTTGCCCTATTTAAAGCCATCTGAAAAGTAAAGGACAAGAGGGTTTGGAAAAACACACTGGACAACTAAATTTTTCCAATGATTATTGTTGTTCCCTCTCGAATATGGTGGATATTGGTCAGTCAGCCCACAAATTTTCGCAACAAGAACTATGCGCAAGTTGCATCACGAATTTGACGATTCTAAAGCTTTATTATATCACATGAAGGATTTAATCATGAGCTGACATCAGTTAGAGAACCACTGAAAAATCTGGGAGTGCTGGACAGCTGTTTCGTCCTAGGTTGGGACTCTTCAGCAGTACGCACCCATCGAGATTCGAACCCAGGACCTTCTGGTCACAAGGCGAGTTCGTAGACCATTGAGCCACTGGGACCCGATCCAGTGGTCCTTGAATTTCAACTTCTGCCAGTTCACAACTTAGCGCGACCACTTCGCAATATCTTCTTCGATGAGTTACTGCCTCATCTTCAACCTGCTGTACCCTACTGGTCACGGCAGCTGTCAGCTCATGATTCAATCCTCCATGCAATCAAACAAAATCCCTACAAAACCAATACTTTATTATATCACTAGTCGCAGAAGAAAACATCACACAAATTTCCAGAGCTTGGTACCGGAATTCCAGTTAAAAAACTTAGTGCTCACTAAACTTACAGCAGCCCCCAATAACATTAATCCAGAAACGTCACTGCGGTTTAGTCTCACTTTCATGAATAAATCAAAGAGTACCGAAAGTATTGTATATTGGCAGGGCCGAATAGTTTTAACATCTGACATCTGAAATTGCGGTTATTTCTGCAAACAGACACAAAGAAACCGGAGGAAGAACAAAACATTCGTGCATCTATGAATGCCAAAAAAGTCCTGTACATTTTGTGAACTTAAGATACTATATAATTTATCCAGTTATTTTCAAATATCTCAGTCTCACTCAGCCAAGGCGACCTGTAAACACAGACTACCAGTCACCTTGTTTCACCCTGCATACCCATTCTTTTTAAAATTATTATACCGTGGTCCTATTTGAAAGCCGTCACATTTCGCACACAGTTCAAATATCCATGTTTGAAATGATATAGATGTTAGTTGAGACTGTATACAGCATTTGCATGTGGGACTTCCAGCCTTGAAGTCTAAGGTGAACTGTTCTCAACTGAACCCATACCATTTCCCCCAAGCAAAATATCTGGCGGAAAGTATAGCTCTATGCTTTTTTATTGATACCTTGTTAATCTTTGTTCTAGTTAATTTGGTGACACTGAAGTACTTCTCTCAAACTAAACAATTTTGTGAGAGGTTGCAAGAAGCCTTACTGTTTTAACAATTAAATCGGTCAAACGCACACATAGAGACTAGGTCGTAATACTCGCCAACCATCTCAGATATTTTTCGTGAAGATTTTACGTGTCAGTCAACGGGCTAACCTAAATTAGGGGCATCTAATTCAGTGTAGAGCTTGGAAGAAGATGTAGATCACGGCAAAGGATTCCGATGTTTCCTAAATTAAAAATAGTGAACATTTTGATAGCATTCCCTACTTTACACAGCTAGTCCTTTCAAGTATTTATCAAACCCAAGGGCCCCTAACATCCTCAGCTTTTATTTATTCGCAAGATGTCCCCCAAATAAACCTGTTCAAGGCTTTTCAAGTTTAGATCCTCTGAAGAGGCCAGAAATTTTCAAGAGCCTCGCAAAGCGAGGGGCACGTTGAAACTCTGTGTCAACATTCAGATTGCACCTAATCTCAGTGCTAACTACCGGCGTGGCCTTACGTGAACCTTGGTCTTGTATCTCTTAATAGAACGTTCACATACGATATATTATGCATTACACTGGCAAATGACTTAATCGAATATCAGATACATCACCCATAAAGGAACACACGAACACATACCAGTTAGCTATCCATCAAAGACACCTAGGTGAACACTAAGATGCTAGGCCTAAGCACGTCCACATAACATGGTAGCAAACAACCTTGCTCGTTAGATGACACGTACATCAAGCTTCGAGACAACATCACGTGACCTTCATGCCTGGCCTCATTCACGAACTCCAGCTACTGTGAAAAGCCATCAACTGCTCAGCCCAAGAGTCAGCCTGTCGTTATTATTCCCTTAGGCTCTCAGTGAAATGAGGGGCTTCATCAGCACATCCCCACTTCGTGCTGTTTTTCGCGATCTTCTTTGGTTGCATCCGCGACTGCTCATAAGCTCCTATATTTCCCATGTCATCTTCAGACACCCGTTTCCCATCAGGGACCTGTCGCGTGACGTCACTGAACAGTCTCCTCAGCCCTTACTAGGTCCATCTCGACATACTTGTTGTGTTAGCATTTGATTATTCGTTGGGTGATAGCCAGAGTTCCCTAGCGTCAATGCTTTCAGTGTGGTGTGACGTTAGCCGTTAATAAAAGCTTTCAGGCTGTTCGAAATACTTTAAGCGACATGCCGAGTCTCTGAACTGTATATAAGCAATCACTAACTTCACATTTGCGTCGAAGATCTGAATCTTGTGCCCCACGCTGGTCGTAGTGGATTTCAACACCGATTTCAGAGTAGTCACGGCTGAGTTGGCTTTCTCATCCTACCTCATCTGTGCCGCTGCATGCAATCGAAACGATGCTAACTGGACAAGTTAAAAAGTGACCTGCGATTTTCCAACTTCGGTAGTGACTGAGGCTTGTTTTAGATTAGGTTGCTTCATCACCCTAGTCTTTCCCATGTTCTCTTGAAGTTCTCTCTTCTCTGCTTTTCCCCTACTTCTCCAGGGTTTTCTATGGAGTGCCTTCGGGGCTATGAAAACAGCTAGCTAGTCGTTACTTCAAATCACCCCACGAAGATACCGAATACATGTAGTACGTCTCCACGGCGCAAGTTAAGGTTGCTCATCAAGTAATTTACGGAGAAATGTAGTGATTCCGTTCGTCAGCTTAGTTTATTCCCAACCTTTCATAGTGAAATGGTATTATAAGACTGTTATCGGTCACTTTCTAGTTTCAGCACCCCCTCCTAGTGCTACCCAGTATTCAATAGCTAAGGACTATTTTTGTGAAGAGTACATATATCCAAAACCAGTCGCTGGGGCCTTCCGGATCCTGTCTGTTCAGCATAATATATATATTTATTCCTGTCTATGTAGGACAGACCAGTTGTACAGCAATGGATAAGTATTATTTACATCACATGAATTTTGATTTAAGGTGAAATTACATGGCTGCTGTCCTCTCTGACATTAGTTCGTGTAAACAACCTGATGGCTAGTCGTTCAATAGAGCACATTAGGAATATAGAAATATGGTCTTCGCATTAACAAGTATGTGTTGGATGGATTACAAATATTTGAGGAAAAAATAAAGCTTCAAGTCAATCTCTCCATATAAATTTGTTGTGTCCGGCATCGTATATTGTTCTTGTTTTATGATCAAATTGGGTATTAACTTAGAAAATGAGTGATTTATTTGTATGGATTTGTCAGCATTTTACGCAAGCAACACCAGATGTGAGTAGCCAACAATTTTCTGAGACTCTGCTATATGCATATGCCCTAAATCTATCCAAATTACAGTTCAAATGCGTAGCGAAATGGTATGCCTGGGCAAAGGTATGAGTGATGAATTCGATTATACGATCAATTCATGGTTGTTTGCTCAAAACCAACTTCCCCAATTTTCGTGGAGGCATCAATCAGCCAGTCATCGTCTCATCGGTCGCTGTTCAGAAAGAAGTCAGGAGACAACCGTCAGAAACCTTAGTTGTAAAGTTGGCTATATGTTGGTGTTAGAATAAATAATTCTCGAGTCGCCAAACTGGGTTCTGGTTTTTGCGTCCGTTCGTACTAAGCGTTTCTGAGAAGCTCCGAGGAGCAGGGTGAGTCCCAGCATAGCAAGAGCTGGGCATTAACGGTTTACGAGACGTGACTGACAGTTTCTGACGGCTTGCAGTCAGTTTCTGACGGATTCGGACAGTTGGTGACAGTTTGGATAGTCACCGTTCATCTTTCCTGGTGCCTGCTAAGTCTTCTTTGAACAAGCAATATCTGGAACTTTTTGGAATTGGGTCAAGTTCAACAATGCCTGGGTCAAAGAAGGGACAGAGCGTCTTGGAAGCAAACAGGAAAGTAAGTCATGGTGACTTGTCTGTTAATTGTAACGATGTGTCTGATGTTAGACATGACATGGTTGATGTTACTGTTTCGCCGTTCAGGGATAATAGGAACATCAAACTCCCTAAATTTGAACCACGATGTTTCGACGGAAACCCGGCTGATTATTTAAAATTTGTAAAGGAGTTTGAAATTATGCGGAGTAGTTTTTTATCAAGTGATGAGTTGAAATTGATGTATTTGATGAGGTACTGCACTGGAGTTGCTTCAAGAGCTATACAGTGCTGTAAGCCTATGCCCCCTAATGAGGGATACGCTGAGGCTATGAGCATATTACGTCAAAGGTTTAGAAGACCTTCAATGATCGTAAGGAACGTATTCGAAGCTGTCAGAGGTAACGGCAGTCAACTACAAGATGACTCCAAGGCACTTACTGAGTTTTTGGATAATCTTATGACTTATAGGAATACCTTGATTTCTACGAATTGCATGAGTGACCTCAACTCGAGCTCAGTCCTAGAGGTAATAGCGAGACGCCTACCTACTCGGCTGCAAAGGAAGTGGGTGAAAATAAGCTCTCGTATAGAGGATGAGGGTATCGAGTCAAGGTTTGATGATATTCTGAGACTGGTGAAGGACAGTGTCAACCAGGCGATGGGCAAATTCGCCAGCATTTTGCATTCTAGGGTAGAACCTAAGGAACCAGTGAATATAAGGAAAGCATTTGTGGTGAAGTCTCAAGACACAACGAGAAAGGACGAGTGTATTGTTTGCCATAATATGCATCAATTGAGTGATTGTAATCGCTTCATCGCTGTCACCCATAGAAAGGTTAAAAATGGCAAAGCAGAAGCGGCTGTGTTTCAGTTGTTTAAAGATTGGGCACACAA